ACACTTTTATCATATAAGTTAATTTTTGAGCCATAAGTCATAAACTATCAGTTAGCTTATCAACTAATTTTACCCAATACTTTTATTATAAAAAGCTATTAAACTATCAGTTAGCTTATCAATTAATTTTACCTAACACTTTTATTATATAAGCTAGCTTTTGAGCCATAAATCGTAAGCTATCAACTATAAATTAATTTATCAACTAGTTTTACCAATCATATATCTCTTAATCAAAACCAAAGCAATTCGAATAACCTGTGGTGGGCCCCTAGTTTTACTTATAATGATGTGTTGAACTTAAACGCGTAAACAATTCTTATTTTTGAACGGCCTCAAATTGCGTGTTTTATTTTATAAGCTTCCAAACTTGTACATACGTACTCTTCACCTTATAGCATTCAGCTAGTTTTTAAGTTACATTTGTCAAATGGACTATTATGTCTCCAAATCCAACAATTGCAACAGATGTAGAACTTTGTGTTCAAATTTCTGTTATTTTTCCTTAGGTGCTGTAGTTGTGATGTTGTTAGTTACTAATAGAAGCCTGTTTGCTCTTTTGTTTAGTGTGGGATATGTCTGTAAACGGTGTCGTCATATGCATAAATAGCGAGCTTGCACGTACTGGAAAGATGATGAATGAAAAATATCCGATTTTTCCCCTTCCGGATTTTACGTAGCTCATGATAATCCATTCAAACCGAATATTATTTGTACGAATAAATGGAAAAGCAAATTAAAAAAGAAAAAAAAAATGAATACAACGATATCTTGTCACGACTCATCAAACCTAAACATAATTAATAATAATACCAACCAAAACCAACAAAAGTAAGTTAATAATTCAAAGGCAAAACAGTAAACAAATTGTAGAAACTGTGGAGTCTTGGATGTAATTAGAAGGGTAGGCAACAAGTAATGTGCTTAAATATCCACTCAAACAGAGTTCCTAATATAGTTAAATCCATGTTATACAGCCAATTATTGTTCTTTTTTTTTTCTTTTTCTAGTCACTTCTCTTCTTCATCAGTAGTCGTTGCCTCTTGACACGACTTCTTTGCACGTTGGGCGAAGCAAAATTGTGTGCTCAAATTGAGAAACATAGCTGCCCTTATTATCACAAAGAGGTGGGTATGGCTGCCAAGTTGGAACAATTTTCAAGCTCTTTAGATCATAAAAAATTTGAATGGGAATGAACAAGATCGACAAAAATAAGATCAAAGATGCATCTGTTCTATTGCTAAACTTATAGGGGATTCTTTCGTATAAGCCTCAAAGAATTTTCATGCAATCTCTATACTACTGCAAATTTATCTTCTCAGCTTTTAGTGGCATATTCAATCCAAAAAAAAAAAGAAAATTACAATCAAGCCTCCAAACAAAAAAGCTCGAAAGTATTTTAGACGCCAAATGTCAGTATGATTGACACTCTTCTTCAAAGCCAATTAAAAAAAAAAAAAAAAAAAAAAAAAAAAAACACCAACAGAAGGCGAGTTTTCAGTTAAATGCTACTAGCTCAAAATTTGAATAGACACAAAGTATCAGAGCCTCTTATAAAATGGTTGAATTTCAGTTTTAAGTCTGACGAGAATAAATTATTCTACAACTAGCCAATCCTTCGTTTTTTTTTCTAACAGGAAATACATACCTGAACAATACCAGCATCACACAAATTCTTTAGTGCCATCAAATACTTAGTTTCTCCAATTCGGTCCAGATAACGTCTGCAGAAAGCCAATGTTGAGAAATTCTTATTAATAGTAGCCAAAAGTTGTTTGGCTCTGGGCAAACGTAGTGGGACATGACCGGCATCAAAGTTCTTCATGTAATGGCTGCATTCGAGGTCTTCTCTGACATATCCCTTCCCTACGTAAACACAAAAGGTAAGAAAAGGATAATACACCTCCAAAACAAGTGCACCGACAATAATGAAGAGAGAGGAGAAAAAAAAAAAATCTTACCTGTGGATCCAAAAGTCTCAATTGCATAAAATTCACCCTCTTCCATTTTTGTTTGCTCTCCTCCTTTGACTATCGGGACAGATTTTCCCGCGTGTATTTGATAGGGTCCGATACTGTGACCATTCAAATTTCTAATGCTCTTCACTGCCAAAACAACCAAAACCATCCCAATCAATAAGGTGTTCGCCATATGGCTATGTGTTGTACGCGATTAAAAAGGTTACGTAATTTAATAATGCAAGCGACATCGTACATGGCAATTGCATAATAAAACAATGACAAGACACAGAAGAAATCATGCGCTTCATATTTACTTAGCAACTGATAATACGAAAAAAAATTATAGTCTACTCTTTCCTCCCCTTTTGAAACCTCTCAAAGTAGGCCAAGAAGCCACCCATCTGTCACGACACCGATACAAATCAGTTAAACTGTTGATTAAGTTGTCAGCTTACAGGCAGTCCCAAGTTATCTGCAATTTAAACTGTTGTATGCTATCTACAACAGCAGACATGAAAACTTTTTTCAAAACCAGATGCCAAAATTTTAGATATATGGAGTGTTACGTATCAAGAAGCAGAGCCAGATTTATTTTATTAATTTTCTTTAGTTTAAGTACTTATAGGGCTTTTATCCCATAGGGTAAAATTGCCCATTAGAGTTATGTCTGAGTTATTCTATTCCAAAATAATAATATCAAATATATACTTTCCGCTCACTTTATCTTGACTATTGAATATTGATGAATGGGTCTGGGTAGTACTTACTCCGAAAAGCTAGCTCCAGTCACTACTCGATGTGGGAAACATAACTTCTAACAACTGTGAAAACACACACATATGCTAACTCTCACACATCAATTAATGAATCTGACGCTTAACTACATGCCCTTCCAAAGGCACGTGCATATCAAGCAAATTGTTGTGGTTTAACAAGTTATAGTTGAGCTCGACAAGGAAAAGAACAACCATGGTGTTTTTTTATTTAAGATATTCATTGTTTCAAGAAAGATATGTGATAATGAATGGAAAAAAGGACAAACAATGATGATGAGGATAATAAAGGTAGGCAATGATGAAATCGGGATGCTGAGCTCATGCTAAACACATGTCTACTAAATCTTTACCCTGAAACACCTTTCCATTGATTTCAACCTCATACGATTCCATGACCTCTTGTATTGCAGCACCCACATCACACAGACGCACATCAATTCCAGCTTCCTGTTATACAAATAGTAAAGAATATTAACAACAATGAAGGACTGATAAAATAAACAAACCCCCACAAATCTAATAAGCTCGAATAATTTCATTGCAA